TTTAACTGCAAATACTGTGGTATAGCTGAAGGAAAATTAACAAATTTGATGGGGTCTTCCTTCTTTTAAGTCAACTTTACGGAGGTAAAAATGATATAAAATAAAATGTACCTTTTTTTTTTCTTAGTTTGCTATGAGTATGTGCACTCACCAAAGAGAGACAGAGACAGAGGGAAAGTGAGAAGTGACTCCCCAGGGAGGATAGCCACAACATAATCATTTCTCCTCTTCTCCATTCTCCTCTCATGATTTTGGGCATAAGCACACATACACCTGGCATGAGTTTTAAGCCACTGGGTCTAGAACTTAAACCAAGAAGCTGGCCATGTAGAATCCAGCTGCATTAACCTCCATGCCACCTACTGGCTCAAAACTGTACCCATTTTCAGAATACAGTTTGATGAGTTTTGACACACCAACACCCAAAAACCTTTCCAACAACTCAAAAGCATTTCCAAAAACCAAAAAAATCCTCTCATGCCTCTGTGTAGTCAATCCTACTATGTAACTTCATTGTGAACCAAGACAATCACTGATCCATTGTCTATCATCATGCATTTGTTTTGATTTCTGTAGAGAGAGGCAAAGTGAGAAATCACCTCTGAGGGGAGATGCCCACACCACAATCCCTTCTCCTCCATTCTCATCCTGGGATCTTGGGCACGCATGTACACACACCCAGCATGTGTTCAAGCTTCTAAGTCTGGGACTCAAACTGTGGTCAGTCATGTGGGAATCAGCGTCTTAACCACTACACCACTTCCTGGCCCCAAGTCATTATAAATATTTTCAAACTCCAGAATTATTTGACTTTAAAAAAATAATTTAGAAGGCATAGTGGTTAAGGGAGGTAGATCCCATGTGACTGACTTTTGTTCAAATCTCAACCTGGCATCTGTAAATTATGCTGGGCGTGTTTGTGCGCATGCTCAAAATCCTGACAGAATGGAGAAATGGAGAAGAGATTGTGGCATGACCATGTTCCACTAGGGGATGCTTTCTTCCTTTCCCTTTCTTTCTCTTTTCTTTTCTTCTCTCTCTGGAGAATGAACAATTTAAAAATAATTTATAAGGGCCAGCAGGTGGCATGATGGTTTAGGTGCAGGACACAGTTAAAGTCCCAGACCTTGCTTTCTTACTTTTCCTCTTTCTCTCTCATTCTCTTTCTCCGGTGAGTACATGTGTCTTGTGGCAAATAAAATAAATAAAATAAATAGTGCTTTTAAAATTTATTTAAAGTAATTTATATATCTTTATTAATATTTTCTATTTGTTTAAACATTTCATCTAGTTCTCTAAACACCTAGTTCTCTAAACATGGATATCTTTAGCTTTGGGAACATATTTAAAATACCTAATTTAAAGTCTTTATCTAGTAAATCTGGCATGTAGACTTCCTTAAGGACAGTTTCTCCTGACTGAGTTTTATCCTGTGTATGGACCATACATTCTTGTTTCTTTTCACATATTGTACTTTACTTAATTAATTAAGACAGCTGGACTTACTACGTTTTAGGTTTTTTTGCCATAGGGTGCATGTGCTTGCCAGGAAGAGAAATAGAAAAGAGAGACAGTAAGTCTCCCCCCAGGGGTATGGCCAGGCCACAATTTCTCCTTCATCCTCCTCTCAGAACTCTGGGCACAGACGGACTCTGTGCACACATGCACATGCATCCAGCATTATTCTTAAGCTGTTGGGTCCATCAGGTTCCATGGTTGACCATGTGGAAATTCAGCATCTTAACCACTGCACCTCCTGCTGGCCCCTCGACTGGACATCTTAAATAACATAATGTGGCAACTTGGGAAACCAGATTTACCCTTCCCCTGGGTTTGCTATTTTTTCTGTTTGTTGTAGTAGTTGTTGGTCTTAAAAAAATTTATAGAAGGCCTGGCTTGGGCTGAGCTATTGAATCAGGCTCCAAAGACCAAAGAAAAAATGGAGCTACTTATGATAAAGTTCATATCATCAAGCTGAAAGTACATTGTTCATCTGACTTTCCAAGAAACCAAGAGAGAAATAATTCCAAACAGATTAGTTTCAATCAGCAGATTAATGAATTTTCCTCTGCTTTGATCCTTAGAAGAAATAACTTTGAAATAGCCAATCTGCCTTACGTTTGTTACTTCTGCTATTTTCAGCCCTTCTTTGTCTATAACACCAACCTCTTCTCTCCAGCTCATCAGAACACTTTATGTTTTATAGGATGAAATGTTGCTCAATTCTAGAATTACAAGAAACGCCAATTAAGATCTTTAAATTTGTTGTAATTTTGTCATATGATACTGGTTTAGTAAATTTTCTAAATGATTTTTCTTTAAAGTCTACATTCTTTTTTTTTTAATTTTTTTTCTCCCATAAATGTGTCTGTGTACGTGTGTGAGGGAGAGAGGCACCTTCAACAGGGTTCTTATGCCATGATCTACCCCTAGCCTTGGAAAATTCAGGATTATAAATTGTTGAATATGTTCAAGGAGGTGTCTGAACACAAATCTGGAACCTTTGCATATGGGTCAGCCTCATGGAGGATTTTATTGTGCCAGCCTCCTGCCCCTAAAGCCCAAATTCATTATTGTGTATGACTGAAGTTTTTGTTCTGATTCTGATTGGACAGAGGTTTCTTTAAACACCTTCAACCAATTAATCTTCTAGTCTTTGTTGAGAGGCCTAGTATATATGTCAGGGAATGCCTTCCACAGTCAGCCAAGTGGTTTAAAATGCTGTTAGCCTTCTTTTCTTGATTGTGCAGAGCCTCAAGGTAAGCCAGAGGTGAGAACTTAGGACCTTCTCAGGTCTTTCTTTCTCTAGGCACATGCACACCCTAAGCAAGCACGTTACTTTCAAGATTCCCAAGAATATGTCAGTTTTTCAAGTCCCTCTGAACATCTCATTCTCTAGCTAAATACTTTGTTTTAATAATTAAATTAGCTCTTCTGGGTCAGATGGTAATTGTATTTTTAAGATTTTTTTTTGTTTTTGTTTTGTTTGTTTTTTTAATGTCAGAACAATTTCCAATGTGGTTTTGTAGTAAAGGGTGCTCCAAAGTTGAAGAAGCTTTGACCTTTACATACTGAATGTTATCAGGAGCCACAGATGGAATTTTAAGCAAAAAAAGAGGGTGACTATATTTGTACAGCACAAACAAATTTTACCAATGAAGTAGAGAATGGATTGAAGAGGATAAAGTAGAAGCATGGAGGGGCTGGCAGGTGATGTGGTGGTTAATGCACTGGACTCTCACATGGCCAACAGTGGTTCAAGTCCCAGAGCAGGTGGTTTGCTTTCTCACTTTCCTTTTCCCTCTCTCTCTCTGGTCAAATTAAAAAATAATAAACAAAAATTAAATAAATAATAATTTAAAAACTAGAAGTATGGATCTCAAGAAGATTACTGCATTATTTTAAGTAGT